TAAACTTTCTGGTCATATTGGAGTCATGTTGGGAAAATGGAAAATCAAATGGAAGCTACTACATTCATAGGGTATGTATATACATATATATGTAAAAGCAACCTCGGCATACAGGGACCTAGCTTAGAGGTTTCCTTTCTGGCGTCTGTAGTGGAGCGATCCCTGAGCCTCACAGTTCTAGGCATGAGTTGTACAGTGCCTTGGAGCGGGATGTTGCTTGTGCATCACTTAAGGCAATGGTGGAGGGGATGACTATGATGATTGAGGGCAAAATGCCTCACAAGAGCCCCGATATTCATTTCCCGCTCCCCCCCAAGTACCAGTAAGCGATATGGCATTCAACCTTGCTGCCTTCAGGGTCAATTGAGATCAAGCTTGCTATTGAACTTCTAGCCCTCAGTCAGCCTGCTACACGGTTTACGGGGTTAGGGTTGAATTAAAGCCATTAGGATTAACAGGGTTTAGAGATTGGAACAGGGCACCCGCCTAGTATTAGATCATACTCACAGCCTCACAACGGGAACATGTCATATGAAAAAGTTACACACGAAGCACATCCCAACCCCATCTAACTGGAGTTTAATGATGTTAGCATCTTGTCACGTTTCAGGCATTTGACATTAAGAGGGCTACATGACTCTACACGTTAAACCCTAAATCAAAATAGGGTTTAGGGCCAGTGGTAAGGAAGTTTTGCAGGTGTCAGAACCCTCGGGTCGAACGCGCCATGGACTGCCTCCGCGAGGAGTTTCTGTGGTGAAATATGTGGGGCTGAGGGTTTAGAGTTAGGTTTAGGGGCGGGGTTAAGGGTTTAGGGTCACGCGAAGGGATAATGGACAATTGAATGAAAGATGGACAAGTAAATGGAGACTGGGATTCGGTATTGAGACCTCCTGGAAGTTGAATTTGCAAGGGGAGGTGACGGTTATGTAGGGATCTAGCGATATCATGGAGATATTTTAGGGATATGTCAATTTGTTGAGGGTTTCCCAGAATTGGAGTCCTTTCTGGTGTTTCTGGTGGTCCCTTTGCCCAGGGCTATATAGCAAGAGGAGGTCTATATTGAGGCACCCTTAGTTATGGAAACTGCCATATCTTCTACCTGATCCTGACTAAGGGCACCCAGAATCTTGTCATACTCGCAGTCTCCACATATCCCTACCTTTGACAAAACTCTTCTTTCCGGGCTCGAAGGGTGTGTTATAATTCTGGAAACAGGTTGTCAGGTTGTCTAAGTTTGAGGTCCACAGTTCAGGATCTGAGGTTAGGGATGTCAGAAGGTATAGGGGAATCTGTAGTCTCATTAGTAATCATTTTTAAGTTTCATTATAGTATACCCCTAAGGAGTTATCAAACAGATCATTTTTTATACAGGTCTGAGGAGACTACAAGAATAGCCATGAACACAAGTGCTTGACACGAGGTCGTGAAAGGGGCTTGTAATCTCTGAGCGGGCTGGCAAAAGGATTTTCGTTATACGATTGTGCAGTCGGTGTGTGGAATTGTGTAGAGATATTACGGTTCAATGACATGTTGCACAACAGAGTACTGCCAGAAATTGCGGCTTCCTGGTGGGTTGATTCAAGCGACAGGTTGTTCCAGTGGGCCACGGCTGAGGGTTCAAGGTGCAATTGTTGCAGCTTGACCCCTATAATGCTACAACTCCCCCACTACAATGATGTTTCCCCAAGGTAGACCGGTATTATTGCAACGTGGGAGCTTCACACAAAATCTGTCTGTAATCCGTACAACAAATCACATCATAACCCCATTTTTCTTAGGGTCCCTAATGGCCGCTTGTTGTGAGAAGCCTCCATATTGGGAATACTTATTGCCCCCAATGCTAAACCCAAGATCAAGTTCCCTGGAAGCTCAGCGCCATAAACGCCAAACTCCGGTGTGGACAGGAGAGTTATGTCTTCAGCTGCAAACTTCTGCAGCATGTGCCATGGGTTCATCAACTAGGGATGGACGCTCACAGGGATATGTAGGCTTATGCAGGGTTTAAGGGTGTATTGCGTCAAGAAGTGGAGTGGCATGGGAAAGAAAGTGGATAACGACATGGAAGCTGCCGTTATTTCCCAAGGGTGTCGGTGTATGTGTTTGTGTTTTTCCCTGTGGTCTACGGAATTGTTTCGGGTATTCTAAACTCACAAGAAACAATCCCCTAATCAAAGCAATAGTCCCTCAAAAGGAGCTGCATTGAAGCATGCGGGTAACGTCTAGGTTTGAAGGAACTGACGCCTTGCAAATGCAGCCCCCGCATCCTATCATCTACAGTAGGCGGGCTCCACCCCAAACGCGCCATACATTGCACAGATCCAGCATGGTTCCTACGATTCCATAGCGTAATGTAGGTCCTGCATGGTCAACACAAAGGCCGCATGCAAATTCACAACCATCTTCAACCCCCTGATAATTCGTCTCTGAAGAACTGGGAGAGAGGATGCTGCAGGTAAACGCGTTGTCGGTGACGACGATCCCGATTGCTTATCAAGAAGACCGTGCAACACAGGTGGCTGGTTCAGGGTTTAGAAACTCAGCTGTCATGTGCTTACGACGTGTCCATTTTTCTGGGCTAGAGGTGTGATTTTTGAAGCAGATAATGTAGATCCCAATTTTCGGGCGCCAGCTTGTCCTTGGTGATCAGTACCGTGCATCACACAATGTTGTCACTGAATGAAAAGGCCCCTCTTTCTTGGATCCCACAGGAGACCAGATTACGGATCCCAGTATTTCAGGCAATATGAGCCTGAACTCCTTAAAGTGGTCATTGTGGATTATACAGGGGAGTCTAGGGGAGTATGTTACGGGTTATTCGAATTAAGGGGGATCTTAGGAGTTTAGATTCTAGCTCATGTTGCAGAGGATGCATGTTTTTTGGGATTCCCGGCCTCGGTGTCCCCCAAAACCTAAATACCTGAACCGTACCACCTACACCATAGAGATCTAAACCTCAAGGCATAAACTCTGGACGCTAGTAAATGCTAAGACAGAAGCTGTGGACCCGGAGCCTGAGCCATGCTGTAAGCCATAACTTCCGGATCCTAAGCCTTAGCCCTGGAGTCCCAAATCCCTGAACCCTGACTCCTAAACCCTGGACCTTAAGCCTCAGTGGTGAGGTTTAACCATGTTTAACCCATACTCCCTAAACCCTACATCTAACTCAAACCCCTTACTGGCTCGTAGTAGGGAAAAAGGGATTAGATTTTATAGGGAAGGGACTACATAGGGATACTATCCCAATAAATCTGCCATGCTAAGAACCAGTAAGTAAAAGGGTCCCAAATCCTAAACCCCAAACCCTAAACCCTAAACCCTAAACCAATCCCAGATATTCCTGGCCTTGTTCTTCGGCTTCGCCTATGTGATGCATCTGTCCTTGGCCAGAAGAGCCATCCGACTGTCTGCAGGTGGACTGCGAGGCTTTCCCTCTAGCCCCGGGTGCCTTTAAAAGGGGTTATGTAGAGGTTCTATTGGGATCTATAGGGTTTAGGATTTAGGGCTTAGGGTTTCCCAAAGTTAGGGGTACCTTTCTTGGGGTTTACATCATAAGGACTTCAGTATTTGGGGGTCTATGTTGATTTCCCCGCATTTATGGAAACTACCATGTACATACCCCAAGGGTCTAAGCTCCAAGGGCCTAAATACGATGTAACGTGGGCTGGTTGGTCCCTATGTAGGTTGTTTGGGTCCAAGCTACATCCTGTGTAGGTATTTCGACCCTCAGGGTTATTGGTAATGAATTAGGGTTTGGGCTTTAGGACTTGGGTTTGGGGTTTAGTCAGGGTTTAGGATTTAATTAGGGTTCAGGGTTACTGGTGGAGAGCAGGACCTGAGTAGGGCTTGGAACGGATGCCTATGTAAGAGTTCCAACATTCTACCCCGACAATGGTTCCGCTTCTTCATTCCCTGCCGGCTACTGCTGTATGCGATTTAGAGTTCAGGGGTTTAGGGTTTGGGGCGTAGTGCTAGAATTGTGCGGTTGTACCTATTGTTCCGGCGGCTTGACGCTAAGAAGCTGTAGGTGAACAGAGCCACAGATACACGCAAAACATGATTGTTCCTTACCGAATACAGCGGTATACAGGGTAGGGCTTTATTACCAGCTGTGGTGAGAGTATTGTAGGGCTTCTTAAAAAGTACAGGTGAGTGCGCGCATGCGGCGTGCAAGTGCGCGACCACAACTAAAAACCATGCGTCGTACCGTCCTACTACAAGTTGCCCTAGGGCTCCAAATAGCCCGAAGTAGGTACTATTTATAGAGATTGGGGCCCAATGTAGGCATTAATTATAGGCATGGAGCCCCAGGGTTGTGGCCTATCAAAAATTATCGGCTAGGCCTTTTCGCCTTCTACTACCTCCTGATCGTCCTTTTCCGCCTGAGCCCATGGATGTCCGGAACCCCAAATGCCAACATTCAGAGATGGCTGGCAGGCCTACAGGGTCCAAGCATAAGGACCCAAGTAGTAGGGCTTTAGGTCCCCAATGTCATTCATATTAGAGTATTTGGGGCCTAAAGCCCTAAACCCTAAATCTGTATTCTTTGGGTCCTTGGGCCCTTAGGGTTTGAAAGAACCATCGAGTCCTGTTTGGGGATTTTGGGCCTGACATTTATTTGAAGTCCCTTTTTGGGGCTCGCCTCAACAAATAGGAGTACTTATTGGGAATTATAGTGGGACATGTTTTGGGGAATCTACACCCTAAACCCTAAACCCTAAACCCTGAACCCTAAACCCTAAACCCTGAACCCTAAACCCTAAACCCTAAACCCTGTGACCTCTTGGAGGCTGTGAGCTTGCCTCTATTGTCTGCTTTGTGGAATCCAGCGTGCATATTCCGGGTCAGTTGGCGATCTTCTTGGCAGTGACTTGCAGGCAGGTCCTGATGAAAGAATTTGATTATTCAGCCATTGAAACCTGGCTTCCTTTCTGATGCGTTTTGAGTACTTTCTTTATTTGGTTTAGGAAGTTTGGACCTGGATTTGAGGGACAACTCAGGAGACTATCCTCAGCCAATTGTTGTATGGCTTAGTCATCAGTATGGCATCCCTTGTCCTGGAGTTCACCCTCAGACAGCGCCTGGCCGCGGAGCTCCAGCAGTCTGACGCAGAGTCCATGGTTTCTGGTTTTCGGGCAGTCTTGCGAGGCGTTTGTGATGGTGAGCTACTTCTGGATGGAAAGGGTCGAATCCAAGAAGGCATGGGTGCACTACAGCACCTGCTTTCCAAGACCTATGACCTGAAAGGAACAGCTTTTGCAGAGCTTCTGGTGAAGGATGGTGAAGAACGAGGGCGGTTCGAGGATTTCATTTCCAGAAGGTCTGATGCCAGCCAGGTCTGTCAAGGAGCTGCAGTCCATGGTAAAGGGTCAAGCAATGCCCCATGTGTAGGCGTTGTTATGCGCCCTCAGCCCTCTGAAGCCCAAACCTTAAACCCCTACAAGCCAATAAGCCCTGACCTTGCACTCTCCAGCTGGAACCCTTAAACTGAAGCCACTTGCTTGGCAAGGAGCCCCGCAGGGCCTCCGTATGTCCCTCTGCAGTCATTACTTACAGCGTGTGGGAGCTTGAGATGCAGAATGGCATGCCTTCTTTTTGATCTTAGGACTTTGCTCAAGGTGCATTGGGCCTAGGGCTCATAACCCTACTGTGAATTGAGGGTAACTTACAGAAGTCTAGTTCGGGGGATGATAAATAGGGTTATAAGACTAGCTATAACTAGCTACTGAAAACGATGAGCCTTCAAGTAAGGTTGTTGTAAAGCCCTGAACAAATCATACCAGCCTCACCCCACCTCACCTTCATTGGTGGTTTGTTTAGAACATGCTTCCTAGCGGGCTTAATGTCAGGTTTGGAAAGTAGTATAACCCTAAGGGTCCAAGGACCCAAATAATAGGGTTTTAGGGCCCAGGTACTAAAATATTAATGGTATTTGGGCCCTCTAAAACCCTATTATCTGGGTCCTTGGACCCTTACGGTAAGATGACCAAGTAACAGGGTTGGAACAGGGATTCTACTATTCAAGCCCTGGAGTCCTTCCCAAGTGGATAGGCTTTAAGGTTTAGGATTTAGGGTTTAGAATTAGGGTTTAGAGGATTGAGCTAGAGCATTGGGGTTTCTCATCCATGCGCTTGCAGACTAGGGTTTTTGTTCACGAGAATGGGTGCCCGCAATGTGCGTCCTACCATGCAGGCCGGAAAAGAGGTACCTCTATACACGCCCTGCCTTATGCTTTTGAAGTCGTAGTTTCACAAAAATAGGCAGACCTAACTGCAAACCCTCACAAAACTACAATCCTCATTATAGAGGCCCCCTGAACCCCAAATCTCAAACTCTAAACCCTAGTTTTGGTAACTAGCTCTGCCACAGACCCTAGGAGTCGACATTTTCCATGTTGCTCTGCCGGGCCTCTACGGGTCCCAGGACCTTGGCGTTTAGGGTTTTGGGTTTAGAGTTTTGGGGTTAGAGTTTACGGTTTAGGGTTTACTGTTTAGGCCTTTAGAGTTAGGCTGTACGGTTTAGGGTTTTGGGGCTTCCATAAAAAGGGGACCCCAATGTAGACACCCATAATACGATGATCCTCATTATGGGGGTCGAAAAAAAATCCCCCTAATTTTGGGAAACCCAATATGTTTTAAGTGCTTGTTCCAGAGTATCAGGTTCGGCATTTATTGCATTCATCAGGATGAAAGATCAGCAGATTGCTGTACAAACTGTGGTCTTCAGTATTGCTGTCCAAAGCTGCCCAACGCCCACTCAAATGGTTTACTGTAAGCACCACACCTATATGAGCTGTAGTCTAAACTCCTGTACCCTCCTAATCAGCCCTATAGTGCTCCCCTATATAACTCTCATGGTAGGCCTTTAGGACCGTGTTTGGGCTTTACAAATAAGTCACCATAGGTCTTGCACATGTAGCACGCTTTTGGCTGAGTGAAAGCCGGAGAAGCCCTGCATATCATGCCAAAACTAGGGGTCCTTTAAACGGGGTTATGCAGGGGTTAGATTGGGATGTATACTATGTAGGGTTTAGGGCTTCGGGTTTCCCAGAATTTTGGGTACTTTTCTGCGGGTCCCCATAACACGGATTATTGTATGTTTTGGGTCTACAGTGGGGTCTCCCCCTATTTAGGGAAACGAACATATATCATGGATCATGAGAGGTCTTGTCTTTATTGGAGGCAGGGTTCAGGTGCACGTGTTCATTGGCAAGTATGACTTAGGAGGACCCCCAACCTTGTAATAGTGGTATAATAGGAATATAAGAGAACCCTGATATAATCCCTATTATCCCCTGTAGTCACTATTACTGGGTGGGGGGTCCACCTAAAGTCTGACAATGGTTTCAGCCCGGGTCGAAACCAGCCTCTTGTGTCGTCAAGCAATGTAACCAGAGCTAGCTACAGGCCCCACGCACCCAAACCCTAAACCCCCCAAGCATTAAACCCACCCAGACCCTAAACCCTAAGAAAGCATACTCCAAGTTTCCTCATCCTTCCAAGAGCTCAAGAGGCGAGCCTTGATAAAGTCCCCCCGTGGCATTAAAGATCTAACTCTTCCAGTGCAATATGAGCCATAGTCTAAACTCCTTCAAGGCGGATATATACGGGATTATACAGGGGAGTATTAAAAGGGTGTTAACGAGGAAGACTGGGAATTTAGACAGTGGCTCATATGTTACAGCTGACCACAGTGCCATACTCTACATTAGGGGGTGAGAGGGGTACTACTAGGGGAAGGGGATTGCTGCTCTCACTCTCGCCCTAACAAATCAGTAGTATTTTATTTGAGGGTATTATGGTACTCAATATAGAGTGAGATGATATCCTCCTTTTGGGTACAGTATTTACACAAGGATTATAATCTTACTAGGTTCAACCACCAAAAGAAAGCGCTACTCAAATGAGCCCAAACCCTGTGAACCCTAAACCCCTAAACCCTAAACCAACGCCCCGGGAGGAGCCTTACCACCTATTGGCCATGAAGCTGGATTCTGAACCTCCCTTACCACCACCGCCAGCTGCCGTCCATTTCAGCATGTCATGAGCGCTATAAGGGTTTTATGGGGTATGTTTAGGCTTTTCAGTGTATGGGGGGGCAGCGTGGTGCGTCCAAGTTACTGCACGCTGAATAGATGCGGCCTTCCCTGATAGGTTGGAAGCCAGTGCCTTCCACATAGGATATTACAATCATTACGCTGGTCTTTCTTAGCCACTTGTGATGTGCAACCGCGCGCATGTAGAGGAGATGGGCACAACGTTGTACAGGCTGTCAAGCAACTTTGTTGTTTTACCGAAGCTCCCATGTGGTTGCCCATTGCCACCGTAGTAGCTGTAATTTTGGGGTACAGGGGTAGACTATACTGCCCAATCTTGCTGGAACTACGGAGGCTTACTCTAAACAGTAAAGCCCTAAACCATACATCGTGTAACTGAAGAGATGTCTGGGTTCAGCACGCTGTCAGATTAAAGCTCAGCTGTTTACCTTGTAAATTTCTAGCAGGGAGACGTGTATAGCGTGGGGAATTCCACGGATTATTTTTTTTGTGGGGAGTCCGTATAAGAAGGGTTACAGTATCTCGAGGTATATACAAATCACCACGCCGGTTTGGAAAGCTGTCGTAGTGGAGTGTTGTCTGGATGGGCATGTGACCCTTCTGAGAAGTGTTTACATAATTAGGTAAGCTTGGCCATAGGGGGCTCCAATATGCGTAATATGTACATATATATATATGTATATATACATATATATGTATATATGCATATACGTAGATCCCAATCGGGTAGAATACTAATTTTCTGGTCTCCCAAAAGTGCTTCTTGTCTTTTGGAAACCCTGCTCCCCACAAAACCCCATGAATCCTTGTTTATCCCCTATACCCCGCCTGGAGTCTCCCTATACAACCCTGTGGTTTGTAGATTTTCATACCCACGTACTGCATGCTTTCAAAGCCCTTGCGCGAAGGGCCCAGGGTACCTCACTAGAAAGCCGGAAAGGTTCCAATGCCTACAGAAAATGGTAGCCTCCATAAGCAGGGGGAACACACTACAGACCCCTAAATGCCATAATCCTCATTAACTTTACGAACCCCCAAGGAGAGATTCCTAATTTTCGGAACCCCCCAGATATTGTTTAAAACCAAAGATCGATGTACCTGCTGGATTGATTGCTCGAGCCTTGAGCGGGGTCTAAGGTTTGGCATTTCCTTACGCATGGGAATTTCGGGTTTAGGGTTTAGGGTTGAAATATGTTGAAACTAAAGTCTGAAGTTAGTGGGGGGCTTCTGCGGTGGGTTTTCCTGTTTTGCCTAGAGATGTTTTCGAGAAGGTAATGGTTTTGCTGAAAATCACTGGAAGTTTTACCGGTTCAACTCCAGATTCCCTTGACGCCAAGTGCATGTTGGTCTTGTTCATTGGATGCTTGTAGTCGCAGACCCCCTGAAGCCCGGTATGAAATACAAGACCTATAACCCCATAGGGGGGTTCCATTTTTTGGATACGTTTAGGGGGTCTGGGGTAGCTCTCCAGTCAAGATTGCTAGAGGACTATATCCCGCTGTTTGTTTCAAATTTTGCTCCTTGCTAAATAGTCCGTTTCGCACTTCCCACCCCTTTTGTGCAGGAGTTGCGTATGCAGGCGCACTTGCTCCTCTTTACCATTTCGTTTCTGAGTTTCTTGCCTCCTTCATTGTTTACATAATGAACATTAAGCCCAGAATGCAGTCAAAACCCTACATAACCCGAATACAGTAGTTTACATTTTATTTTCCATTCTCCCAATATAGGCCCAATATAACCCCTATAACCCCTGTAACCCCTATA